GCAGCCTGGGTCCGAACGCCCGCCGCTGTCACTGCGGCCTCACCCTCGCCGCGCAGCTTCAAACCCTCCTGCATCAGCTGATCGCGTCGCGGTCACGTGACCCGGGGCCCGCGCCCACGTGATTTACTTGACCCCACCCACGGCGCCGAGGCAACCACCCCGCTGTGGCGCAGCGCGCATGCGTCCCCCAGCCTGAGGCTAGCGGGTTAAAGACGGTCGCGCGGTCCTATCGCCAAGGAGTAATGCTGGCTCCGCTCTGGCTCTGTCCTGACCCGCGGTTGGTGCCGTCCTCGTGACTCCCGCGTCCGGAGCTTGACCCTTTACCCTCCTCGGTGTTAGGTGATGACCCTGCTACCTATCCCTGACCCATCCTCTTCCTCCCTCTCAGAAATCCCTTCTGCCATCTCGTCCAGACCGCCAGCACACCCCATTTCCAAAACCGAGTAGGACCCAGGCAGCTTCAACCCAGAGACCTCCAACGTCCCGGACCTGCGCCACTGCAGCGTCCTCCTTGACCCTATCCCCCTTCCTGCTGCTACCCCCAACTCCACTCTCCTCCAGCAGCCAGCAGCACGTTCAAAGCGCGCCTCCAGTCCGTCTTCTCCAGAACCTGCCCGTGGCTTCCCACTCCTCTGCTGCAGCCTTGCCCGTAGCTCATCCCAGGACGGCCCCAGGGCCTTGGCACAGGCTTCTGCGTAACAGTCAAGAACTTGGGCTATGCAGGTGAGGCAGTTCAAATCTAGGCACTGGTACCTGCCACATCTATGCTTTTTCGAGCCCCTTAATCTCCCGCGTGCTTCAGTTTCCTCCTTGGCAAAGTGGGGATATTCGAGTGTCACCAGCCACCCAGGGCTATGGAGAGTTAAATGGCAGAATGCAAGACCATCACACAAAGCAGGCTGTCGGTTAGTAGTATTGGGATGACAAAATCCTCCCTCGGGAAAGCTGTCCTTCCATCCAAATCAGAAGTCTTGTCACCTTCTAGAATGTCCATCTTCTGTAATTATTTTTGAGAATGTTCTTGCATACGATGCATGAGCTCTGTTCAGGGCAAAGCCACGTTTACCTTGCTCCCGGCTAAGATGCAAGAGTCAGCAGGTGTTTGCCAAACACATTAATGTGCAGTCTCCATTTGTTCGGTGTTGTAGCTATTCCGCAAGCTTCCGGAGGCAAGGGGAGGCCCCCAGGGCTGATGGCTAGGGCTGCCCTCACACCAGCCTCTGTGTCAGACCACGAGACCATCCATGGAAAAGCGAAAGGGAGGGCTCCTGCTGGGGAGCCACCCCCTACCTTGGCTAGCCGGACCTGGGGGCAGAATGATGACCCACGGGCTGGGGGAAGGAGACCCCGCAGGGGAGCGGCTAGGGACCTGGAAGGTGGGGCTCCAGATGTTTGGCTGGCTCTGGCCACACCCTCCCACCGCTGGAGGACCCAACACTGCCCCAGGGGAGAAAACACAAAAGGCAGTCACAACATAATGAAGGCAGTGGGAGGGTTTTACTAAGTGCACAACACACAACTTTCCCAGGCCCCGGGACACCCTGCGATGCCCCCTTCAGCCATCAGGCCCCAGCAGTGCCCCCTGCTCCTGGACCCACTCGGGACTCTGGCCAGTAGAGAGAGCTAGGCTGACAGTGTCGCCGATGGAAGAGCAGGGGTCAGGCTGAGACTCGGGGTGGGGGTCAGGGCTGGGCTCAGGATCGGGGCTGGCGTCTGATTCACGGTCAGGGCTGAGCACAAGGTCGGGGTCAGCATCGTGACCACGCTTAGGGTCAGGAGATTCAACAGGATCGGGGCTGGGGGAGGATCCGGAGCCAGACTGGGGCTTGGGGCTGGGATTAGAAAGGGGGCGAGGGTCAGGGCTGCAGCCAGAGCTGGGGCCAGCGCTGAGGCCCAGGCCAGAGCCCAGCACAGAGACAGCCTCAGGACCCAGGAAGGAGACCTTCCCGGGCCTCATCGCGGATGCGGTGCTCAGGCCAGCCCCGAGGCCCAAGCCGG